AGACACTGGATGCACACACAAACACACATTCTTCGGCAAAAGACGGTGAAAAAGCTGATTCACTTTACCAGTTTCCAGAGATGGACCCGATATTTAAGACTGGAGAGATCGAAGAGATTACTCGAGACGCTGATAACTATCCGAGAACGTGTGATATGTGCGAAGTTTCGTGGCCTGACGATGCTTCTGGCAGCATGTATCGGCTGACGAAGATGGGCATTGTCACGCACGAGGGTTGTGCGCAATTTACTGCCAATGTATTGGCACAACACCCGGAAATCACGTCTCGCGATGAATTCTTAAGCTTGTCAAAGACTCCCGTGTCAAGTTTGAACAAGCCTGGTACTTTTTGCGTAACAGTGCATCGGGCGATGGAGCTGCCTGGGATACAGTTGATCGGCAAGCAGGCGCCATACGCCAGGCTGTCGTTGCTTCCATGGAAAGAACCATTGCAGACCAAACCAGTTGAGAATGGTGGTCGTAACCCAGTCTGGACTCGCGCGAACGATAATACGATGCAGTTTTCTCACATGTACAACAGCACTATCACGCCGATTCCGCTTTTGGACGTCGAGGTGTACAACTACAACTATCTTGCAGACGATCATATCGCATGCACGTTACTGGACATGAGTCCTCTGCTCCGATACCCGCACATGAGGCAAAAAGGTGGTTTACTTTATCATCTCGTTCCATGCTTACACATAGCACAGGGCAGCCCAAAATTATGCTCGCGATCAAATTTGTGCCGACAGAAGGAGACGTCAGTTTGACTAACGCACACAAGTTCCGTGTCCATCAACTCAAATCCATTGGGCTCGCGATTCCTTTTGACGTATGTTGTGAGCAAAAGTCGGAATCCAACTTGGCGCAAAACCTCGCTGCCATCAGCTGCTACTGTGCTTGCTGCAAACCTTCGAAAAGCACTTCCGTTCCGGAATTTTAACGTATCTTGGCGATGTGCGGAACATTGGTCGCAGGTGCAAAAATATGCACCTGCGACCAATGTTCCGCACATCAGCGAAGCTCAAATGATGCAGCTGACGCGTCTGCTGCAGCCACTAGCTGTGGCGTCGATCGATCACCATGCCTTCTTCTTCCCAATCCCACAAGCATCTCGGAAAAACTTTTCTGGTCACGATGATTTGGTACCGTGGCCGTCATTTCCTGGTCTTCTGCAATTTGATTTGTGCGTTTCTTTGAGTGGCGAAGCAAAGGAGTCACCAGATCTGATTGCTGCAACGACGACAATTCCACTCCGAAGCCTTCTGAAGCAAAACGGTCAGTCGTGTGAATTACGTCTCCCGCTGTCTTCCTTCTCCACACCAAATGACAATTGTGCTCTTCCTTCTCAGCATTCAAAAGAATTGGATGGCGATTATCTGGTTGCACGCGTTGGCTTTCAAATTCCTGAGGAAAGCAAGATGTCGTCGAATGAGAAATGTTTCGTGAGCAAAAAGTGTGAGTTAGAGGAAGTGAGACCAGCTCAACCAACTGTATCGCGAAAGAAGCGACGAGTGGGTCATGTGGAGCGCAACTTTTCCGAGTTTGTATGTGAAAGCATGGTCGAAAAAGAAAAGTCAAAAGTCCTTGGTGCACACCTTTTAGACGCGTTCTGGAAAGCAAAAGACACAATCAGGCAGCTGCAAACGGAGATTGGTCGTGCATGTGGAGCATTAGCATGTGCAGAAAATCTATTGAACTGGACACATCCGTGGAAAACTGCAACCGTCTTTGTTGGAATAGCTATGATGTCGTTGGTGTTTTCAGTTATTCGTGGCCGCTGGGCGATTCTCGTTTTTGGTCTAACCGAATTTGGTGCGGTGTTTGTGAACGATGCTCCGACCAGCAAACGGCTTAAGAAGATTGTGTGGAATTACTTGTCGTCTCTTCCTACCGACCAAGATCTAATCGAGCTCTACGAACCCGAGCGTGCTATTTACATGAAAACACGCAAAGTACAGCAAGAAAAGGACGAAGAAACGGCGCTTCGTCTTCGTTATCACGCATTATGGATTGGAAACGTATTCACAAAAGCTGAAGGCGAACGTCATGCAAAGGTGTTACTCCGTTCGCTTTTTTTGCTTTGTTTTGATGGAGGGACTTTGACTTTTACTAATTTCCAATTGTATTTGTGTTGCTAGACCTGCTTTTTGGTCTATCGTTCATATCGCTTTTTGCTGTGGAAATGTGAAGAGGATGCTAATGAAGGTTCTCAACCAAATCTCCAGCTTGTGGTAGGTGTTTGTTCGATTGACGTTATGCCTGTAGAATGTTAGATGCTGACTTGTGTTTGTGACTCTTTTATTCAAGATTGAAAAGCCTCAAGCAGTCATTGACAAGAGTAATGACAAGGTATTTACTTTTAATGCGTCAGGAAGAAACAACAACGGAGACATCGGTAAGAAATCCATCACTAGCAATGTGTATACTATATGGACCATATTAATTGGGATAAACTTGTCACTTGTCATGATGGTATGAAACAGAAACTCGTGTGTTCACGTTGGATTCATTGGAGAAGAAAGATGCACTATTGAATATGATTCGACAAAGTTGCAGAATGTAGACTCACTCACTCATAGTAGCAAGCTCAATGAATAGGTAAGTCAGTTAGCGTTGTGTCTGTATTGACTGCCTTGAGTAGTCTCTGGCGATCTACGTTACATTTCGTCATGAAATAGCCAGCAGGAAGAGACACAAAGCGACTCAGTTTTTTTAACATGAGGTTTTTCTCTCTAGTATTCTCTGCTTGATTTGTTCTGTTATTTTTTCCATAAATACATGATTATGACTAATGAAAAGCTATATGGAATATGTTTGATTGTATGTACTTATTATGTTGATAAAGTGATGGACTAACTATGAGTCAGTCACTACCGCGTCTTGATTCTAGCTGCTTCGCAAACGATCTTTGCTTGTATGATTGCAACGCAGTCTGCATGCCAACTTCGATCTGATATTTCGTTTACATCGTTTGTATCTTTCTGTATTGTCAGACATTTGTTTAGGAAAAGAAGATGAAGAAGAATGGATTGGATGCGGCAAAATGCATCTCAGTAATTATTGCATAGTAAAGCACTACCCGTTTTTAATACTAGTTTTAATCTAATGAATATATTGTAATACCTGTTATTAAAGTCATGCATAATTTAACATTACAATGTTGCGTTGGGCGTGAGCTTTGGTGCCACTTCACTAAGTAGATGCATAATGATGAGCCAGATCAGAATTGCCGTAATTTCAACGTCAACTTGAGTCCCAGAACTGATAGTCATGTATTTATGGAAAAACAATAAAAGAACATCTCAAGCAAAGGATACTATGATTTCAAAAAACCTCAGGTTAAACAAATTAAGTCGCTTTGTGTCTGTCTGTCTCTTCTGTCTGTCGCTTTGTGTGTGTCTGTCTCTTCTGTCTGGCTCTTCTTTCTTTCTGTGTATTTCACCAATCGAACTATTAATAACCACGAATTTATGGAAAATAATAAAAGAACATCTCAAGCAAAAAGGATACTATTATCTCAAAAAAACCTCATGTTCAAGCAATTAAGTCGCTTTGTGTCTGTCTGTCTCTGCTGTCTGTCTCTTCTGTCTGTCTTGTAACCAATCGAATCATTCCATGAAGATTGGCGCCAAAATGCTTCGAAAAAAAGCAGACAAGCGCGTCATTCCATCCATTGACGCGATCATCCAAAAACATTCGAGGGATTGACTTTCATTTTTCAAAAAGCTCTCGTCGTGTCCTCTTCACTTACGTCAAACGTAGTTCTTCTATTAAGCTCAGTTCATTTCCAATTTTTTCAGTGATGACCGTGCAAAGTCTTGTTAAGATGTTTGAAACCATGGCCGTTTCGGCAAGGGTGGATACATCGAAACAATTGTTGGAACCATTACCTAACCGCAGTAACGTTCTTCGATTGGCGAGGTACTACGATGGGCTGAAACAGCCTGAAGATTTTGTTCTGACCAAGAGTGTCCGTCAGAACAAGTCTGTCGTGATCAAGGAGTCCCAACAACCTATAAAGATGGAGGTACAGATGGAGAAGATGGAGGTACAGCAGAAACACATCCAGTCGAGTATCAGATGCCAGGAGTCAAGCGCTCGACCGACAGTGAGCAAAGGCTCTAGACTACCTCAGTCGCGTGTACTACCGAACTTTGTGAGCAAGATCCCGCAGCCAAAATCACGCGAGTTCCATTTAGCTGCCTATTTAAAGAGGAAATCTACTGTAGACGATGCATTTCGCACTCGCGTGTCTTCTTGCAGCTTGAAGGACGCGAATGAGCCAGTAGTCGTATCACCGTCGGTCCCTGTTTCTAACCGAGTGCGTTCTCCTGCTGCGTACTACGGTGCTTTTGTTGCTCGGATTGAGAAGTCGGAGTCTCGTTTGCTTGATTTTGAGAAGAATGAACGATGGTTGGAACAGATTAAGAGCATGAAAAGTCGAATTGAGGGACTCAAGAGAAGAAATCACACTGCATTAGCAAAGGAGGTGGCGAGTATGCCGCGAAAGAAAAGGAGTCTGAGTGAATGCAGTGCTGACTCAACGGCGTCTACTGCATCAATATCGTCGATGGACATGCCATGCCAGTGATCATGTGTTAGCATTACGCACTATTTGAGTGAATTTATCTAAGTTGTTAGTATCTATTGAACTGCATACATTACATACATATATTTATACATTACATACATACACATAATACATATATACACATTTACATTTGCAGTTTCATAAGCGTCGGGTTCGAAGCGCCAATTTTCTTGAGTCGGGACCTGTTTCAATTCCCAATTGCAAAGCACAAGTAAAGAAAACGTCATCAAATAAATCCTCAACTCGATACGAAAACCTAACACCTCATAGAAAACTTACAGCGCCGCACCAATTGGTGTTGTAGCCTTAGAATTCATCATCTCATTCGTCACTTCCTGGTCACGTGTTGCAAACTTTTCCTGTAGCGCTTCTAGTTCTACCGTCGAACAAAGTCGTACAACATCACGATCGGATATAGATTTTGCAATTGCTTCATCTTGAGGTATGACAAGACCCGTAGATTCGTTCAGAAAATGTAATTCCTTGTCTTCTAATACGTCTAGAAGCTCCCATTCAGCTACAGTCGATGTCAGTGATAATATCTTCTTACCAAATACATAACGTTTCTTCAGACCTTCACAAAGCCTGTAATAAGACCATCATATATCATAAATCAACATATACAAACGATAGTGTGTTTGACAATACATTTACATGTGAAGACGTACCAGAACCCGACAGTATCCTCGGTATTAGTTTTACCACGGAAACGTAACTCCATGATAATAGGATACTATAATAATACTAATGTCATTATTAGATGTAGATGACAAGAAATTGTATTGATTCGGTCAAGTACGTAATCGGATTTAGTGAGGAAGATCAAAGCCACACTTCAACTTGATTGATGGATAATAATAATATTAATGCCTCTTAGTGATACCGAGACGGTATGGGACGAAGATTCACTACTTTCTCCATGTCTATGGACATTAGAGAAGACGCATCAGGTGACAGAAGAATCATTGAATTGTACCAAGTTTACGAATCAAAAGGAGAAACGTATGTGACAAAGAAACTAGATTCATATTGGAGACAGATGTATACTGATACTCATTCATTCATTCTGTCTGTTGCTGTCTGTCTATCTATGTAGCTCATAATGTGCAAGCACTTGACCATGAATTACAACTATCACCTCGATCACAGCTCCATGTGATATCACAAATCAGTGAGCTTGCTGATGCACAATCACGACGGACCACCACAAAAGTGTCAAAGCTAACTTAACAGACACAGCGTTCAAATGTATGGGGTACAGCTCTGCAAACAGCGAAGCGGAAGAGAACTTTCCAACCTGCTGCTGCAGCTACTATGCAAAAGAGGCACAAACAGACGGAAACGTCAATGCAGTCGGAGACAGAACGACTAGCTGCTGACATGCTGGACTGGGAGACTTGTAGCGGTACGAGAAAAGATTATTCTGATTGATACTGCATGATGTGGCGGAAGGGTTTATGACTCATTTGGTGTATTGGTATATTTATGTATTATCAAAACTAAGCAGAAGGTGATTTATTTACAATGGATGCTGGTGGAATGGAGACAGATGAATGGATTTATGAAGAAATTAATGACAGTGACTTTGAGAGTGAGTTTAATGCGCTATGAAGCGTAATGATTTAATTATGACTTAAATGGACAATTGCATAATAATCGTCACACAATTATACCCTTTTATAATCAATATAGATTTTAAGAGCATAAGAAATAAAAAACGACTTGTATCAGTTATTAACAATGACAAGCACTGGAATACAATGGAAAGCGTCATCTGCAGGAGTTGCAATCGACAATAAAGATGAGGAGTGTACTGCATCGTCTGTATCGAATGTATTTAATGACGTAATGAACTTTGTCTTTATGTCTCTTTCTCGTGTTTTCTTTTAGTTCACACTTGTTGTTACACTGGTTTTTCTTGTTGTTATATGACAGATGCTGAATGTGAATGAAGATATGATTACAGCAGCAGTTGAATGTCAAGTAGGAGATAATATTGAAGGACTGATTGCGTAAGGAAATACTATATTTGAATGTATTGAACACAATACTAAATTTGGTATGAATATGAATATCTGTAGTTATCAACGTATACTGCATCGTGACCTCATGGAAATGGCCGAGTTCATTGACTCAATGTTTGGTGTCTACAGCAACGCAAACAGCAGCAGCAACAGTCTTATTACTAGTAGCACAGTACGAAACCGTTGTGTGCTCTGTATGTGGATATTGTCAGTGGGTAATGTTGTTGTTGCGACTCTATTGGCTATAGCTACTGCCGCAAAACAAGAGCGCTGAGTCGGAGTCTCATGTGGTCGACCTGACGGCTGAGATTGCAGAAGATAAAGCAATTGCTTTCGCAGTAGAGACATCTCCCACTGCTATGGCAAATCGACCGGTAATAAAGAAAGCACCGCGTGGTGCGCTACTTACAGCTATCGAGGCTGGAGAAAAGTTCCGCGAGACACGACGATCGAAAGAGCAGTGGATTAAGTCGCGGCATCAGGTGCTTGAAGAGGAAGGTGTCAGCGCAATTATGAACAAACCCACAACCGGCATGTTCGAGGCTGCCAATGCGCAGTCGGGAGAGAAGGAACCACAACAAGGAAGTGGAGGATTAGCACTGGCAAATCAGCTGCGGGCGCACCAACATATCGCTGCGTTCTTGCAAAATATTAAAGAAAACGCAGCACCAGGCCCTCCGATGTCCATGAACTTGATGTTTGCCAACCAGTTGGCTATGCATCCAACAGCTTCACCTGTAGCAGTTCCTGGTCCTGATTTACAGGTGCCACCTACGTCGGTAGCTACGATTGCATCTGCTGGAAAAAAGATTAAGCCAAGCGCAGCTGAAAACAGTTTTCCCAAGATCGCGCTGCCCCCAGCGCATTCCATGTATAACATGCTCTTTGCTTTTCCAGAACCTTCGCCGTTGATGTTTTATCAGCAAGCCATTGTGGGGTTTATGCCAATACCACCGTGGCAACAACAGCTACCAACCGCTTTACCTGCTTGTACTCCAGGTAAGTTTATTTGCTGTTTTATCACGCTTTAAGTTCGAACTGATCAGTGTATTTGGTTTGCTTTGTGCAGCAAAAAAGCCTCAATTCAAAAGAATGTGTGAATCGTGTCGCAAGCGGCATTTTAGTGTTCGACAATGCCGTCTCGTGCTTCAACATACAGATCCTGAATGGCAACCTGTACAAACCAATCGACGGCGAAGGCGCAAGCAAACCGCAATAAATACCACCTATAAGTAACTTAAGCTTTCAAGCACCTCTCATTCAATAAAGTTCTTCAACAAGTGCTACAAAAAGCGCCATGCCAGTTGCCAAGTGCTCGCCGATGGCTACTCAAGCACAGCAACAACCACCCATATTTCTCGCCCCGTAGGCGAGGGATAGCGCCAACACTTTCTTGCAAGTCACTACAGGTCCAACGAGAATGAAGATTATATAGCATCAGCTATTGGCAAACATCAGTTAGATCAAGAGTAATACCAAGACGCACCTCTTCCTTCTCTTCACGCGCTTGCGTCCGGCGCGCATAATACGTGTCCAAATGCTTCTTTGGGATCTTTTTCAGTAGCTCTTTCGGGAACGCGCGGAAGAGCGACCATGCGAGGTCCAACGACTCGAAAATATCGCGTGACTGATATGGACCCTGCGCGATAAACTTTCCCTCAAACTTGTCCGTAAACTTCAGATACAGGTGGTCTTCCAGCGACAGCGCTTCCTCACCAACAACAGCCTTCATGGCTTGGACATCCTTGCCAGTAGCATAACTGGCATACTGTACACAAGAGCAAGCACCGGTCAATGGCAGATCGACTGGCTCATGACTCCACAATTATACACCTACCAGCTGATTCGACACAGCGCTGTGGTCATCACGAGTCATACCCTCACCAATAGCACTTTTCATCAAACGCGACAGCGACGGCAGCACATTAATGGGTGGAAAAATCTGGCGGTTGTGCAGCTGACGATCCACATAAATCTACAAAACATAAATAAATACCCGAATGCCATGTTACAAGCTACTGAACGCACTTCCGTGCAGTAGCAACAAAGTCAAGCACAGCTAGTACCTGTCCTTCCGTAATATATCCCGTCAGATCCGGAATAGGGTGCGTGATATCATCATTTGGCATGGTCAAAATGGGCAGCTGCGTGATAGATCCATTACGGCCCGTCACACGACCAGCTCGCTCGTATAGTGTCGATAGATCTGTGTACATGTAGCCGGGATAACCACGGCGTCCGGGCACTTCTTCACGGGCTGCAGACACCTCACGAAGAGCGTCGGCGTATGAGCTCATGTCCGTCAGAATGACCAACACATGAAGGTCGCGCTCGTAGGCGAGATATTCAGCAGTGGTCAACGCAAGACGCGGTGTCACAATACGTTCTATAGTGGGGTCGTTGGCTAGGTTCATAAACAGCGCCGTCTTCTGCATGGATCCACTCTCTTCGAAATCATTACGGAAAAAACGAGCTGTCTCCATGTTGACACCCATAGCGCCGAAAACGATGGCAAAGTTGTCCTCGTGTGAGTCCATAACGTCCTTGCGCTGCACCAGACCGGCCTGACGAACAATTTGCGCGGCAATCTACAACTCCACGGCCAAAATCAACATAAGTTGGCTAAATTTCATACGACAGGTCCTGTTTGGACAAAAACGTGCAACCTAGTTCTTGCGCTCACCTACCTCATTGTGTGGCAAACCAGCGGCAGAAAAAAGTGGAATCTTTTGTCCACGGGCGATTGAGTTCATCACGTCAATTGCAGAAATGCCCGTCTGTATCATCTCCTTAGGGTAATCGCGACAGGATGGGTTAATAGGTTGTCCTTCAATATCCAGATATTCCTCAGCAACAACGGCAGGGGCGCCGTCAATAGCTTTACCCGACCCATTAAAAGCACGACCCAACATTTCTTCCGAGATGGCCATTTTCAGCACATCACCCGTAAATTCACAGTGTGTATGACGATTATCAATACCGTCCGTTCCTTCAAACACTTGTACTACAGCTTTACTTCCCTGAACTTCAAGTACTTTGCCCTGACGTTTCTCACCACTGGCCAACGTGAGATTGACAATTTCAGCAAATTTCGGCAACTACAAAGGAGATAGAGACGACGCACATGTGTGAATAAATAATAAGAAAGATAGCTATAGGCTATATATAGATACATTAACACATGTATGAACGTACCTTTACATTCTCTAGAATGACTAACGGTCCATTCACACCTGAGATCGTACGGTAATCTATCAAAACAGCAGAAGATCGCAAGAAACTCAATGCATTTGAACCCATTCTTACAATCGGATTAGTAGCTGATGTTGTATTTAATACGTACCAATTCGTGGTTCTACGTAGTAATCACGTACTACGGCTGCTGCATTTGAATGAAAAGCCTCTTCTACCGTCGTCATCTTCAAGTCGCTCAAAAGATTCGATGTAGTATATATTGTTATTATTAACTCTCCCTTTAGAGTTTTAACTTAAGTACGAATCACAAGTATTAGACTGAGGTCAACATTAGGACTTTATCACACATTATATGTCTCAATCAAATAAATACGCGTGAATGCGTAGGTCAAATGTTAATGATGGCAAATGGTGAATACAACAAGATAGAGACAAACAAATCAATTGCTTACTTCTCTTTACTCTTTCGCTTGATGTTTTACTTCTCCTCCTTTGTCGACTTTGACAAATCTGCATCATCCTCATTGACAGATTTTGAAACAGATGCAAAGGCTATCTCGTCTGCAGCTGACGCAACGGCGGAAGCAGTGGCCTCATCACTGCTATCGTGCATGCCAGCAGGTTTCATACGCTGTAGTTTCTCCAGCCACGACACAGCACTACCTGACGTATTTGATGGATCAAATGAGCCACGAGCCGAAATTTGCTTCGGAGAATAGATAAAAATGTCCTCCTTGAGCTTTTCCGTATAGTTTTTCTCAGTCGTCCACTTGGCACTCTGTTGACGCAACGAGGCCACCAGCGCCTCGCGACGACGCTCAACTTCAACGTTTCTCTTTTGACGTACCACCACCTTCTCCTCAAAATATTTCCTACACAAGAAATCACATGTTACAATGAACCATCATGCAACCTCACTTGCCTGCTTCAAAGGTTCAATTGTTAAACAGAGAGACTCCTCACCTGACTTTTTCTTCATGAATGGCTTTCTCACGAGCAATCTCCTTAGCACGAATGCCCTGCTGCTGCCGCTTGATTTCTAGTCGAGCTGCCTTAGCCATCATAATCTTCTGTCGCTGAGCCCTGTACAAGTGAACACAGCTACTTAGCCCTTCTGCCCTCTTGCTGCCTCTACCTTAGCCCTATACTTCACCTCATCAAACGTACTCTGCATCACGCGCAAGCTTTTCCTTGCGGCGCTTTTCTTCCACTATAAATTCCTTACGCAGCAATGCAATCTCCTTGCGGTATTCGACGCGTGACTTGACAAACGAGTAGCCCTCGGCAGCACGAGCAGCAGAGGTTGAGAGCTGTATGTATTTGTGTTCAGAGTGATTAATATTTTATCATTACATTACGTATTAACACTGTAGCGTATTACAGAGAATATAATATAACACTAGCTTACTGCTCGAGGAACAGATCCGCTCTTGATAACGGCAAATGACACCACTTTACGCGAAAACATGATGCAGGAAACAAAATGCTGGCGGCCACACATTATGAACCACTGATGATTGAGCTTGACGTAATCTAATAACTTGCAGTATTTATTTTTTATATATAATTACATTTATCTATGAGATCCTATTTCTTTCAATTTTTAATAATATTAGGATTGACTATAAATTTACCACTTCGAAAAGCTATTGTATAAGCTCGTTTAGCTGCAATTATTCTATTGTACATATTACAAACTATTTAATATCATTTTATTCAGTACAAAATCATGTGTCACACTTTTAATAGTGGGTAGGTTAGCAGCTTCTATGATGAGAGTGCACGTGCGCAAGCCTATTTTCTTTATTCAATGTCCTACTGTGGCTGAAAAACTGCCCATTTCCTTTTACGTATGTACCCAAAAGTAGATTCAATGGCTGTTTCTTGTCAGTTTTTCACCCTAGAATTCTGTAACGCATACGTTTTAGTAAATATTATAGCTACAGCATGCATGGTTTACTATAATAAGTTGTACTAAAGCATCAGTCAGTGGTCGTAATTAGGCTTTCTATCATACTATTATCCACTTAAAATATCAGCTAAAAAGCCAGCTGCTAAACAACCCTTTCCGCTGTAAATAAAATAATGTAGGGCTAGCTCATCATTTTTTCTAATTCCGATAAAATCGAGAGGGAATAAGTAATTTTTTCATTATAAAAAAGAGACAAAACAACAAAAATGACAATAGGTAGGAGAACGAAGAATAAAATATTAGAAAAGGACATGAAGCAACATCGTGAGTATATGAAAAAGTACAAGATGCAATCATGGGATCTAGAGAAACAGGAAGTATATTATAAAGACCATTATGAACTATTAGGTGTTGAACGTAATGCAACACATACAGAAGTGAGTTTATTTGAATGAAATTGAACAATCTTTTGGTTCTCACATCCTTTATGAACGAATTGAAAAGACTGTGAAACTTAATGTATATGTGTTTGTATGTATTCTTTTGGTGTGTTATAGATCCGTCGAGCTTACCGGAAATTAGCACTTGAGTGTCATCCAGACAGAAAGCCAAGTTCAGAGGCACTAGCACGATGGGAAGGTGTGCCAATTGCTTACGCAATGTTGTCAAACCCGAATGACCGCGCGAAGTACGATGCTACACTTCCGACGCGTGATGCACTTGTGGAATTTTACCGAACTTATAATCCAGTCAAGCTAAACAATGCTACCATTCAAACCATTATTGATGGCTGGTATGGCCGTGAAGTGGAGCTCTTTGAGATGCTCAATGCTAAATACGAGGTAAAACCACACCAAGGAACTGAGAAGGGCACTCAGTGTGCATCCATGGCGTCGGTCTCGCGTGAAAAGGCACACAAGATTGCGATGGATAGCCAGATGTACATAGCAAAGGACGCTGGAAACGCCAAGATTACTTGGACACATACCATTGGATCTGTTCTTTGCTGCAAGGGCGTGCTTTCGCGCATGTTTGGCTCTTCCTACTACGAGGTGGAAACCACGAGCCCGGGCTTCGTGAGGGCTCATGGTGCTTCAGACACGCCTGGTCAGACCATGCCTATGACTTTGGAATCCCCTGCGACCCCATCGCAGTTGTCAGCGCCTGTAAGCCCAGGTTTTAACCCGGCTGTTGACATGGAAAACTCGTATATGACATCGAGTTCCGACGAAACGGATGACGAAAGTTGCCGCACAAAGACAGGAGATACTTTACCACTGAGCTCACGAGCCTTACAGTCAACTGTTGCTGCTGCTAGCTAAGGCCGACAGAGGTCGGGGTTGAGTTGAGCAGACAGGGATGGATGCCAAATAAATTATTACTTGTTTTTACGCTGCGTCATGCACCTTAATAGCTAATGACCACCGAAGCGCAGGTATTGAGCTATGCAAATTCTGGCATCATTAGAAAGAGAAATTATTAATAGCCTCTTGCCAGAGTTTGTATAGCACCACAAAGATCGGCTATGCGTACTGATAGCTCTTCATTTCTTATATAGTGGTGCTGCATGCTTCTGAATCCGTTAAGACCTCCATTCTTGCTCAATCTTTTGCCACACTTGCAAGCAATCTGCTTCTGTCTGTTTATGGATGTTCAAATTGGGTTCGAACTAGCTGCGGTACTGAATGTGCCAGTTGTAATGGTTGCGTAGTTTACGATATGCGTCTGGATGTTTGTTTACGGTTGTCGCAATAGCATTTCTGATTCCCGAGTGCCTTATGGTCTTGCAAAGCGGATATCACTGCAGCACCTTAACCACACGCAGATGCAACCCGTCGGCATGGCAGCGTGCCCAGTTGGAACTGCATCGTCATCATGCTGGCGTCCTGTGTTTCTGAAATGGTCCACTGCGCACGTTCATTTTCTGCAGATTTGTCTTCCGCGGAACACGAAAAATGGCAACAACCTACGTTTACGAATAAATGCTGCAAGTGGAAGCAACACCCGCACTCGTCTTGCTCCAACATTGCAGCACAGCATTTGGAGGCTTTATAACGCAGTCAGTTATCCGCACATACGTTAACAGCATTTGTCTCAGGTTTGATAAGCCTTCAAAGCGCGCAAGCTGAAAGTAAAGACAATGCACAGAAGTGTGTGGAAGGTAGTGCCTGTATTACAAAGTCATGCAAAACTTCATACAAGGAACGATCACGCATTGATTAAATACATGAGCCAAGTCTACCTGTACCACGGATTTCTAAAGCTTACATCATCTCAGCCTATATTGATCAAAAAGGCGACCACAATAATTAAAAACCCACTTCAGACGTTACTCATTTTGTAGCCGATCGATCACGGCAAACACGGATGGTCTCGCAATAGCGTCTTGGATCAGGATCCATCTGCGGCAACATGTCAACAGATCAATGTTTAAGTCACAAGTGGAGCATATCTCTAGGTTATGCAAACACACCGAATCATCTCGCAAAATTGTGGAGAGTATGAACAGTTCTTTGGAAACTTGATCGGCCCAATAACTGCCAAATACGTGCACTCGACCACGCGCACGACGCCAGAGTCATAAAAGGAGCATTCGAATGGGGAGTACCCGAACGCCATGGAATAAAGCAAACAGCCCAGAGACCACACATCAGTAGCGCTGGAAATATGAGAGTTTTCCGGTACATCATAAAGCTCTGCATACAAACGAGGCTTGTCAAGTAACTTGCCAAAATCGAGTGAGCACCATTGTCGCACCTGGCGCACGATACGCCATTGAGCTATGTTGTGCAGCGTGTTCTTGCAGTAATCGCGCATCGGAGCGCTTTGAAATGATGACATCGGCTATGGTGACAGATCCAAAATCCGTCAGCAATGGTTCATCCTTGTCTGACAACATGATATTCTCCGGCTGAAAGGAACGCACACGTCAGAAACTTCATACAACACTGGATGCGCAGTTATTAACCCTACCTTAATATCACGATGAGCTAGCGGTGGCGTTCTTGAGTGCAGCTCTGCTATAGCTTGGCAAATTTGAAGAAACATGTCAAGAATCTGCGCCTCTGGGATTCGCACGTCTTGACTGTCACAAGAAAGGAACAAAAGCAATAGCGCCTCATTAATGCGCGCCCGTAGCAATCCTATTAAATGAAATCCAAACTACCTAATTGCAGCATCAATCATCTCACGCAGCGTTCCATTCTGTTTAACCACACAAAGATGAGTTACAATGACAAGTGCATCACTCCATCGAGTAAACATTGAAAGCACCTCCATGAACGGAAAGAGTAAATAATACTCAAATGTGTTTGTTCCAGTGGAAATCACTGCATAATCACTCAGTGACATAATATTTGGGTGATTAAAAGCCTTATGTGCTTGAATCTCCGCCTTGGCTGACTGCACTTGTTCGTTCGTCTGACATAGAATTTTCTTCAGTGCAAATGCTTCACCCGTCTCCGTGTCTCTTGCCTTATAAACAAATGAAAATCCTCCTTGTGCAACTTCGGCACATACCAATACTCTATCGCATACAGTAGACATATATATCACAACAAAAGTCAAAAGGCAGCAAGTCATTGTAAATGACAAGAAGAAGAACAAGACGATAAAAAAAACACGTACGTTCGACCACTTAGCATATGAATTGAATGAGAATATCCTAAACATGATAGCACTCGTTTTGTTGCGTAGACTGGAAAGAATGTTACAATTGAGCAAATACGGCGTGATGTAGTAAGAGGTGATGATTGCCACATGATTGATAAGGAAGACCTTGTCTTTATCGTTGTCATGTCAATAGAATTAATACTGACTGTGTAAATACGATAAAGAATGACATGGAGGTTACTAATACAAAATAGTGACATGCATGACACTCAAAAGAATGAAAGCTATAGGTACTAGTAGCAGTGGTGGTGGTACTACTACAACCTATATGTAATATTATACGACGGTCACTTGTGTCTATAGCAGCAGAGACAACAACTGAGGCAGTAATGACAGAAGAAATACCTGTAATCTGTAGGAAAAAGAGTCTACTACTAGATGGCAATAATACGCTGTATCATTATTACGATCCATTGTCTACCATTGAGCAGTACGTCATGAGAATAAATAAAATAATGCATGAATACCTTTGTATTATAATGTACTAACGAATGAACAATGTTCTTGTCAATTTGTTCTTGTGTCATACAATTGATTCTAGTGATGGAGTCAAGATTGGTGCAGTAGATGGAATGATGCAATTACTCCGTAGAATGGATAAAACACACGCACCAGAACATATTTCGGTTGTGTTTGACTCAAGACAACGCCTTACGACGAGAAAAATCTTAGAACCAAGCTACAAGTCTGGCCGAGCACCGACGCCACGCTCACTACTTCCACAGTTTGCATATGCCAAGAAAGTTTTGGAAACAGCTAAAGTAAATTGCATTGAGTGTCCAGGACAAGAAGCAGACGACATTATTGCTTCCTACTCGACTCAATTCACAGCTGCAGGTTTTGATGTGTTGCTTATTTCCAATGATAATGACTTTTTGCAGCTTGTGGAAAGCGGTGACACTGCCGACGTGTCTACTGTTGCTGCTCCAAAAGTGGAACTCTACCAACCATCCAAGCGTCGCTACGTCCGCGAGCGAAACGTGAGAGGGAGGTTTGGATTACACCCCAAGTTGCTCCCTGACTTCCACGCACTTTGTGGCCACCAGTGGAAGAAACTTCCGAGGGTGGAAAACTTGGCCAACGAGGTGGCGGTGCAACTGCTTACCCAGTATGGCGGACTCCATCCTTTGCTGCGCCAGTTGGACGAAGTCACTGATCCAATCCTGTGCAATACATTAAAGCGATGTATTACGTCCATTGAATCCTCTTACCGCATGGTCAAGCTTGTCGACTCAGTCGCACTGCCTGTAGCGATTAAGGAATTGCAGAAACCACAGTTGAACTAGTATTTACTTTCATTGCCAACCAAAAAGTGAGGCGCAGGTCTAAAGACATTAAGCATCAAAATTACTCAGTGTGGTTTGCTTCTCATGCATCAACTGTCATATCCTCTGCCCCGTCATACGTTCGCCTTTCGCCAACTGCTCCCTCAATCACGTTGGCTTGTCCGGCTTGACTCACAGTCATGGGCTTCGTCGTGGTTTCTGCGTGCTCATCACCGTCACTACCTGAATCACTGCTTTCTTGTGTATCGACCCACGGCTCCTTTGTTTTCATTTTAATAAGATCACGACGCTCTTTTGCGCGGCGCTTTGAAAACTCATGACTTGATCTGCCGCTTTGTCACTCCAGGAGCATTTGCAGAGTGCCCGTCTGTATGGTCACTTTGATTTAAAACCTTCAACAAGTCCTCCAGTCGAGCCTCAGTCGGCCGCGGGTTCTTTTCGTATTCCTCAATAATTGTGGCCAGCTGCTTCACATTAAAGACCTGTCCTGCGTGCATGCTGCCTGTCGAGTCATCATCACTCTTGTTAATGATTACCTCTTCCTTGTTCTCCACATCCGATACGCCGGAGAAAGCAGTCTGGATGGATGTCGCATTTTTGACACGCTTGACGTCGATTTTGTCGTCACTCCACGGTGCTTTCCGCTTAGCTGCAGAGCCACCAAGAAATGGGGTCATTGTGTTTAATTTTGACTTTATACGCCCTTTATCCGACAAATTGTCGTCATCCGACTCAGTGTCGCTTGAGCTAGATGAGCTCACGGCAGCTTCATCGATGTGCAAATCGGCACCACCTAAAGCCTGAGGAGGCTGGTTAGCCGAACGTCGCTTGTAAAACCAGCAGCGAATTTGCTTGTAATCAATAGACCTCTGAGCTGCATCACTTGACGGGTCCAGAGACGCAATCCCATTCAACCGCGCCGCAATTTTATCCAACTTCTTCTTACTTGGTGTGTCTTCCTTGTGAAAATACTTCTCAAGCTTCACCAGCTGAGCCAAAGAAAACTTTACACGTGGTCGCCGCGATTCCGGTGAAGGCGTTGGACCTGAATTTGGTGAAGACCCGGGAGTTCCAGGCAACGATTCTGTGTCCACACTTAACAACAAAGACCGTGACTTATCCTTTCGTTTCTTGCTGCTGCTTGGCTCCCCAGCCATTGCCGCGACCACGCTCGGTGCGTCGCCATTCTCTACTATAGATTGAAATTCCTCCTGCAGCTTCTTCGTCTGACGCACGAGTTCTTTGTTGTCCTTGTGCGCGAGCAAAATCAATTCCAGCTGCTGCTGAATACCCGAATCAATCAAAACAGCGTGTGGAATAATAAGCGATAGAAGTAGCTCAATAATATCGGTAAGCTCTTCGGCCGGTGCATCTTCCTCCAACAGCTTCAAAATTTTCATTTTCATATGTGACACTTCCTCTTTGCCCAGAGGCTTTGATGGTCCAGTGCGCGCATTTTTGTACGGAACATGTAATCTTTCTCGCGCGCGTTCGATTGCAGCAGTACGTAATGCTTTGGTCTCTTCTTCGCTCTTACCAGCATCACGCGCATCTTTGATTGTCTTCCTTACGGAAGCTACATAATCAATTCGTATGCGCTTCTTTTGACTGCTGGATCCGAAAGAACTCAGGGACCTAAGGCCTTCAATTCCATCCTTGGTTGCGTTCAGCAAACCGCTGTTTACTTTTCCTGCACCAGACAAGCTAGCTTTAGGCATTTTACCATACATGGATTGATACCCAGTGTTTGCAATAAGAGCCATATCCGCTTCGTCGACAACTTGGCCTGAACTTTGTCCATTCTCACGCATCCGTGACACTCGCGCCTCAAGCACTTCTTTAGCCTCGTCAATATATGCGGCTTTCATCTTCTTAACACTGTCGACATCCATGTCAGTAGTTGAAATGTCCTTCATTTTCAGACGCATGTAGTCAAGGCGCTCTTTTGCACGCCGATTGTCAAACCAAATGCGAATTTGCTTGACAGAAATACCTTCGGGTTGCAATTCCGGATCCGCATAGTCTGGGCAATTTATGATGCGATACATCGAGTGAATCTCACTAGACTCAGGCCGGGATGACCGCTGGTACCATTCCTCTAGCTTCTGAATTTGTTTCGATGAATACAAACGGCTGGCGCCACTCTTTCCCTTTGATCCCGACGCAGATCGGCCTGCTGTACCCATTGAACTCTGTGATTTTCTAGCACCGGTACTCGGCTCCCCCCTTGCGGTCTTGATTGGGTGCTGCTTTTACCTCTTTAATAAAATCAATCTCAAACTGGATACCAGCAACCTGTAATTGTTCTAAGAGCTGCTTCAAAGAGTCCAAACCATTGTGCACACGACGCAGTAAAATGTTCTTCTCAGAAACCGTTGACGGTGCCGTGGCATTCCATGCAGCAGAATTTCCATTGCCGCCATCTGCGTGCGATTTTTTGTCGCTCGTTGCGACAATCTGGGCAAAAGATGCAGAAGACGCATGCGTGGACGATGATGCAGGGACCAGCATAAAAGGAGGCGGGGAAGAAGATGGCGCTGGCTGTTGCTGCTGCTCGCACTTAACATCGTAACTGCTGTTGTCAGAGTTAGCATTGTAGATGACCCCATGTAAGGTAGCGCTATTGGGCTCATTATGCCACGCCGGGTCCATAATGCTGCTAATCTCGTTCATGAGAGCTTGCGAAATGTGCAACATCTCCCCTGTTTGCTCCAGTATGGTCGCATTTATATTTTTGCCACCACGCAATGCTAGATCAGTCAAGCGCTGTACTTCAATCTCTGCTGCAGCACCTGTAAGACCTCCAACAAGCCCGGATCTGTCATCGCAATCCGTCTTGCTTCGAGTCATAAATGAGGATTTCACATTGCGGTTAGCGCGGCTCTTAGTAGAAGAATCAACACGCTGCTGCTTGCGTGGTGTGCTAGAGGATAGTTTTTCGGCTGGTTCGCTCTTCGCGGCAGGTTCACATTCCGGACAATACCACTGTCGATTAAGTCCTTGTATCAATTTGGAAAACTGCTGTCGAAAGCAGCTCGTGTGGTACATGCACTTACATTGGACACACAGCAGTGCACGCCGTCCATTGCGGGGCTCATGACATACCTCGCACTCTTTCCGCGCAACAGTGCGACGTCTCGCAGCGATAATTGCGCCAACATTAGATGTACATGACTTTAGCGTTAGCGTTGTAGCACTGTCCACATTCTGGATGCTGGTGCTACTGAGACTGGGGGATGGTGCAAGGTTCGCAGCCGCTTCAGACGCCGAGTCCGTCTCGCTGTGAGCTCGAGTTTTCTTTGGGTAATCGTTGTTCTCATTCAAATTAGAAATACTAGACAATGTCGAGCTTTTCAAGAATTCATCGTCATCCTCTTCAGTTTCAGGACGTCTAGGAGTGATTGAACTATCGAGATCATTATCAGAAGGAGCGTTAATTGACTCCTCGTCGTCCTTCTCCACCTTTAAACCACCTTCTTCTTCATCCTCATAGTCAACTTTCTCTGTAACTTTCATTGCAGTAAGTTCCGTTGGGCCTTGGGTCAGATCCAAGTAATGGCCAGCGACCCTTGCGGGCGATGAAAAATCCCTTGCGTCACTCTTACTGAACGCTATCTCTTCCTCCTCCTCATCTGAGGCATCATCATCATCTGAAGCAGACTGTAGTTTATTCTTGTACACAAGCAATGCCTTCTTGCGCTCTGTAGCGTCATTTATCGCCATCTTTTCCTCCATCTCAACGTCTCCCATCCGTCACTTTGTATTTAGGTAATTTGTGGGGCGGGGAACAATATTAGAGTAATGATTCGGATAAGTCCGAGTGATAGGTGACTTCTTATGTGATCCACATAATTATTGAAGTCAACGTCATTAGCTTTTACTCGAACACGACATTGTATGGCTGCGATATTTCAAATAATAATATCAACAAGATTGTGTTTTTCTTAGACTTTCTGTGCGGCCAAGGTACCTTAGCAAAGCTACTTATGCACTAAGTGCAGAGCTTTACGTCTCAGGGCTAACAACCCTCTTAAGGCTGACTTTGCAAGCTTGTGCCTTCTGGTTGTAAATAACCACGTCCCAATCAGACCAGTATCACAGATACTAACCCCTTTGTATAGATAAATGCTCTAGCAACAAGCGCTAAACAAAACAGGTTTTAAACAAATTCATTTAGTCATCGACTTCCTGTCGGCCTTATCGACCGCAGAATCAGCGTCGCTGAACTTCCAGTCGAGACACTTTTTGGTCACGGCCTTGCGCCGGCGCCATCGTGACCTTTAAGCTCACTGTGCCCTTCACATACCAAACAATCCTCTTTGCAAGCATCCAATCATGCAAGCGCGGCGCGTGTGTCTGGCGTCTGGCGTGTGGCGCGTGGCCTTATGGACTGCAAAGGCGATGTCGGGCTTTGTGCAGCGCGCAACCCATAGCAAGCTGCCCACGAGTGACTGGAACTCACGTATCGTTGGGCCAGACCGCTTGTTCGACGCTCCAAGCATCTCTACTCCGTCAAGATTCTCTTCATAGCCGTCGTCACCAATCAACGCGCGCACCGAGTTTGCACCCATAAGTCCGTTGGTACGCAGGAGATCACCAGTCGCCTCCTCCTGATCGAGGTTGTAGCCTCCGTCACGCGTGACCATCATGCCAAAATACATGCTGACGCGCCCAAGGTCTTTGACCGACAGTAGGCGAACATCAACGTGCTTTGCGTTTAGTGACGATGCCTCAACAGCAATCTGGCTGTTTGCCGTTTAGCTGTCGATTTGAAGCGGCATAGGAACAGCCGGTGCAATGCCAATCTCGCTCAGCATCTCGCGGAGGCCAAGCACTTCGCACTTCAATTCCGAGGCAGCGACGAAATCGGCCTTCATCATTGACAGAGACACGCCGCCCTGTTTATGCGCACCTCAACTCACTGCCATACCGTTAAGGTGCAGCACGCTGCCGGTCATCGACTTCCTGTCGGCCTTATCGACCGCAGAATCCGCGTCGCTAAACTTCCAGTCAAGACACTTTTTGGTCACGGCCTTGCGCCGGCGCCATCGTGACCTTTAAGCTCACTGTGCCCTTCACATACCGAACGATTCTCTTTGCAAGCATCCAATCATGCAAGTGCGGCGCGTGTGCCTGGCGTCTGGCGTGTGGCGCGTAGCCTTATGGACTGCAAAGGCGATGTCGGGCTTTGTGCAGCGCGCAACCCATAGCAAGCTGCCCACGAGTGACTGGAACTCGCGTATCGTTGGGCCAGACCGCTTGTTCGACGCTCCAAGCATCTCTACTCCGTCAAGATTCTCTTCATAGCCGTCGTCACCAATCAACGCGCGCACCGAGTTTGCACCCATAAGTCCTTTGGTACGCAGGGGATCACCAATCGCCTCCTCCTGATCGAGGTTGTAGCCTCCGTCACCATTAAGCGTGACCATCATGCCAAAATACATGCTGACGCGCCCAAGGTCTTTGACCGACAGTAGGTGAACATCAACGTGCTTTGCCTTTAGTGACGATGCCTCGACCGCAATCTGGCTGTTTGCCGTTTAGTTGTCGATTTGAAGCGGCATAGGAACAGCCGGTGCAATGTCAATCTTGCTCAGCATCTCGCGGAGGCCAAGCACTTCGCACTTCAATTCCGAGGCAGCGACGAAATCGGCCTTCATCATTGACAGAGACACGCCGCCCTGTTTATGCGCACCTCAACTCACTGCCATACCGTTAAGGTGCAGCACGCTGCCGGTCATCGACTTCCTGTCGGCCTTATCGACCGCAGAATCCGCGTCGCTAAACTTCCAGTCAAGACACTTTTTGGTCACGGCCTTGCGCCGGCGCCATCGTGACCTTCAAGCTCACTGTGCCCTTCACATACCGAACGATTCTCTTTGCAAGCATCCAATCATGCAAGCGCGGCGCGTGTGCCTGGCGTCTGGCGTGTGGCGCGTGGCCTTATGGACTGCAAAGGCGATGTCGGGCTTTGTGCAGCGCGCAACCCATAGCAAGCTGCCCACGAGTGACTGGAACTCGCGTATCGTTGGGCCAGACCGCTTGTTCGACGCTCCAAGCATCTCTACTCCGTCAAGATTCTCTTCATAGCCGTCGTCACCAATCAACGCGCGCACCGAGTTTGCACCCATAAGTCCTTTGGTACGCAGGAGATCACCAGTCGCCTCCTCCTGATCGAGGTTGTAGCCTCCGTCACCATTAAGCGTGACCATCATGCCAAAATACATGCTGACGCGCCCAAGGTCTTTGACCGACAGTAGGTGAACATCAACGTGCTTTGCCTTTAGTGACGATGCCTCGACCGCAATCTGGCTGTTTGCCGTTTAGTTGTCGATTTGAAGCGGCATAGGAACAGCCGGTGCAATGTCAATCTTGCTCAGCATCTCGCGGAGGCCAAGCACTTCGCACTTCAATTCCGAGGCAGCGACGAAATCGGCCTTCATCATTGACAGAGACACGCCGCCCTGTTTATGCGCGCCTCAACTCACTGCCATGCCGTTAAGGTGCAGCACGCTGCCGGTCATCGACTTCCTGTCGGCCTTATCGACCGCAGAATCCGCGTCGCTAAACTTCCAGTCAAGACACTTTTTGGTCACGGCCTTGCGCCGGCGCCATCGTGACCTTCAAGCTCACTGTGCCCTTCACATACCGAACGATTCTCTTTGCAAGCATCCAATCATGCAAGCGCGGCGCGTGTGCCTGGCGTCTGGCGTGTGGCGCGTGGCCTTATGGACTGCAAAGGCGATGTCGGGCTTTGTGCAGCGCGCAACCCATAGCAAGCTGCCCACGAGTGACTGGAACTCGCGTATCGTTGGGCCAGACCGCTTGTTCGACGCTCCAAGCATCTCTACTCCGTCAAGATTCTCTTCATAGCCGTCGTCACCAATCAACGCGCGCACCGAGTTTGCACCCATAAGTCCTTTGGTACGCAGGGGATCACCAATCGCCTCCTCCTGATCGAGGTTGTAGCCTCCGTCACCATTAAGCGTGACCATCATGCCAAAATACATGCTGACGCGCCCAAGGTCTTTGACCGACAGTAGGTGAACATCAACGTGCTTTGCCTTTAGTGACGATGCCTCGACCGCAATCTGGCTGTTTGCCGTTTAGTTGTCGATTTGAAGCGGCATAGGAACAGCCGGTGCAATGTCAATCTTGCTCAGCATCTCGCGGAGGCCAAGCACTTCGCACTTCAATTCCGAGGCAGCGACGAAATCGGCCTTCATCATTGACAGAGACACGCCGCCCTGTTTATGCGCGCCTCAACTCACTGCCATACCGTTAAGGTGCAGCACGCTGCCGGTCATCGACTTCCTGTCGGCCTTATCGACCGCAGAATCCGCGTCGCTAAACTTCCAGTCAAGACACTTTTTGGTCACGGCCTTGCGCCGGCGCCATCGTGACCTTCAAGCTCACTGTGCCCTTCACATACCGGACGATTCTCTTTGCAAGCATCCAATCATGCAAGCGCGGCGCGTGTGCCTGGCGTCTGGCGTGTGGCGCGTGGCCTTATGGACTGCAAAGGCGATGTCGGGCTTTGTGCAGCGCGCAACCCATAGCAAGCTGCCCACGAGTGACTGGAACTCGCGTATCGTTGGGCCAGACCGCTTGTTCGACGCTCCAAGCATCTCTACTCCGTCAAGATTCTCTTCATAGCCGTCGTCACCAATCAACGCGCGCACCGAGTTTGCACCCATAAGTCCTTTGGTACGCAGGGGGATCACCAATCGCCTCCTCCTGATCGAGGTTGTAGCCTCCGTCACCATTAAGCGTGACCATCATGCCAAAATACATGCTGACGCGCCCAAGGTCTTTGACCGACAGTAGGTGAACATCAACGTGCTTTGCCTTTAGTGACGATGCCTCGACCGCAATCTGGCTGTTTGCCGTTTAGTTGTCGATTTGAAGCGGCATAGGAACAGCCGGTGCAATGTCAATCTTGCTCAGCATCTCGCGGAGGCCAAGCACTTCGCACTTCAATTCCGAGGCAGCGACGAAATCGGCCTTCATCATTGACAGAGACACGCCGCCCTGTTTATGCGCGCCTCAACTCACTGCCATACCGTTAAGGTGCAGCACGCTGCCGGTCATCGACTTCCTGTCGGCCTTATCGACCGCAGAATCCGCGTCGCTAAACTTCCAGTCAAGACACTTTTTGGTCACGGCCTTGCGCCGGCGCCATCGTGACCTTCAAGCTCACTGTGCCCTTCACATACCGAACGATTCTCTTTGCAAGCATCCAATCATGCAAGCGCGGCGCGTGTGCTGGGTCTGGCGTGTGGCGCGTAGCCTTATGGACTGCAAAGGCGATGTCGGGCTTTGTGCAGCGCGCAACCCATAGCAAGCTGCCCACGAGTGACTGGAACTCGCGTATCGTTGGGCCAGACCGCTTGTTCGACGCTCCAAGCATCTCTACTCCGTCAAGATTCTCTTCATAGCCGTCGTCACCAATCAACGCGCGCACCGAGTTTGCACCCATAAGTCCTTTGGTACGCAGGGGATCACCAATCGCCTCCTCCTGATCGAGGTTGTAGCCTCCGTCACCATTAAGCGTGACCATCATGCCAAAATACATGCTGACGCGCCCAAGGTCTTTGACCGACAGTGGGTGAACATCAACGTGCTTTGCCTTTAGTGACGATGCCTCGACCGCAATCTGGCTGTTTGCCGTTTAGCTGTCGATTTGAAGCGGCATAGGAACAGCCGGTGCAATGTCAATCTTGCTCAGCATCTCGCGGAGGCCAAGCACTTCGCACTTCAATTCCGAGGCAGCGACGAAATCGGTCTTCATCATTGACAGAGACACGCCGCCCTGTTTATGCGCGCCTCAACTCACTGCCATGCCGTTAAGGTGCAGCACGCTGCCGGTCATCGACTTCCTGTCGGCCTTATCGACCGCAGAATCCGCGTCGCTAAACTTCCAGTCAAGACACTTTTTGGTCACGGCCTTGCGCCGGCGCCATCGTGACCTTCAAGCTCACTGTGCCCTTCACATACCGAACGATTCTCTTTGCAAGCATCCAATCATGCAAGCGCGGCGCGTGTGCCTGGCGTCTGGCGTGTGGCGCGTAGCCTTATGGACTGCAAAGGCGATGTCGGGCTTTGTGCAGCGCGCAACCCATAGCAAGCTGCCCACGAGTGACTGGAACTCGCGTATCGTTGGGCCAGACCGCTTGTTCGACGCTCCAAGCATCTCTACTCCGTCAAGATTCTCTTCATAGCCGTCGTCACCAATCAACGCGCGCACCGAGTTTGCACCCATAAGTCCTTTGGTACGCAGGGGATCACCAATCGCCTCCTCCTGATCGAGGTTGTAGCCTCCGTCACCATTAAGCGTGACCATCATGCCAAAATACATGCTGACGCGCCCAAGGTCTTTGACCGACAGTAGGTGAACATCAACGTGCTTTGCCTTTAGTGACGATGCCTCGACCGCAATCTGGCTGTTTGCCGTTTAGTTGTCGATTTGAAGCGGCATAGGAACAGCCGGTGCAATGTCAATCTTGCTCAGCATCTCGCGGAGGCCAAGCACTTCGCACTTCAATTCCGAGGCAGCGACGAAATCGGCCTTCATCATTGACAGAGACACGCCGCCCTGTTTATGCGCGCCTCAACTCACTGCCATACCGTTAAGGTGCAGCACGCTGCCGGTCATCGACTTCCTGTCGGCCTTATCGACCGCAGAATCCGCGTCGCTAAACTTCCAGTCAAGACACTTTTTGGTCACGGCCTTGCGCCGGCGCCATCGTGACCTTCAAGCTCACTGTGCCCTTCACATACCGAACGATTCTCTTTGCAAGCATCCAATCATGCAAGCGCGGCGCGTGTGCCTGGCGTCTGGCGTGTGGCGCGTAGCCTTATGGACTGCAAAGGCGATGTCGGGCTTTGTGCAGCGCGCAACCCATAGCAAGCTGCCCACGAGTGACTGGAACTCGCGTATCGTTGGGCCAGACCGCTTGTTCGACGCTCCAAGCATCGCTACTCCGTCAAGATTCTCTTCATAGCCGTCGTCACCAATCAACGCGCGCACCGAGTTTGCACCCATAAGTCCTTTGGTACGCAGGGGATCACCAATCGCCTCCTCCTGATCGAGGTTGTAGCCTCCGTCACCATTAAGCGTGACCATCATGCCAAAATACATGCTGACGCGCCCAAGGTCTTTGACCGACAGTAGGTGAACATCAACGTGCTTTGCCTTTAGTGACGATGCCTCGACCGCAATCTGGCTGTTTGCCGTTTAGCTGTCGATTTGAAGCTGCATAGGAACAGCCGGTGCAATGTCAATCTTGCTCAGCATCTACACGGAGGCCAAGCACTTCGCACTTCAATTCCGAGGCAGCGACGAAATCGGTCTTCATCATTGACAGAGACACGCCGCCCTGTTTATTCGCGCCTCAACTCACTGCCATGCCGTTAAGATGCAGCACGCTGCCGGTCATCGACTTCCTGTCGGCCTTATCGACTGCAGAATCCGCGTCGCTAAACTTCCAGTCTAGACACGTTTTGGTCACGGCCTTGCGTCGGTGCCATCGTGACCTTCAAGCTCGCTGTGCCCTTCACATACCGAACGATTCTCTTTGCAAGCATCCAATCATACAAGCGCGGCGCGTGTGTCTGGCGTCTGGCGTGTGGCGCGTGGCCTTATGGACTGCAAAGGCGATGTCGGGCTTTGTGCAGCGCGCAACCCATAGCAAGCTGCCCACGAGTGACTGGAACTCACGTATCGTTGGGCCTGACCGCTTGTTCGACGCTCCAAGCATCTCTACTCCGTCAAAATTCTCTTCATAGCCGTCATCACAAATCAACGCGCGCACCGAGTTTGAATCTTAGCCGTTGGGCAGAACCACTCGTTCGATGATGGTTCCCACACCCTTGATTGCGGCCTTGTTGCCGTCAGCCACCAACAGTTCACCTTCATCTTGCTCATTCAGCGTCATGAACTTGGCCTTGTTGTTGCCTACATGGTGCGTTGCTCCACTGTCAACCGCCCACATTCCAGGCATGCTCTTGCCCGTCGATAGTCCTGCTTCCAGCGAAACCGCAAACGCTACTCGATCGTAATCGTCGTCGTAGTTGTTGCTGCTGGTTCGCCACTGCACATTGTTGGCTCCGCGTCCTCAGTTGTTACCGCCGCGTCGAGCACCTTGATTCTCATCCTTCTGCTTGTTCCAGCACCGCTCTGCCATGTGCCACAATTTTCCGCAGTACGTACACTGGTGGCGAGGCTCGCGCTCGATGCTGAAAGCCTTGACCGCTTCTTCAACTTTCACCGATGCCGTCTTCTCGCCTTGCCTCTTGATGTGCTCATTCGTAAGCACCCTCACAACATCTCCTGATCGTAATTCAGCGCTGTTCATCTCCAAATTCAGTACGACAATCTCGTAGCTCTTAGAAAGACTGCGCAACAAACAGATCGCCACGTCTTCGTCCTCCATCTTGGCACCGATGCTGGTAAGCTTGGCACTGATGTTGAGAACCTCGTTGCAATGATGCATCACATTGCCGCCTTCCTTCATCTCCATACTGAACAGCTGGCGCTTCAGAAAAATGCACCCAGCCTTCTGCGATCCACCGTAAAGCGTCTTCAAACGCGCCCATGCGACCCATGCTTCCTCACTATCATCAACCACGTGATGATAGTCGGCGTCCATGTGGAGAAACATCAGTCCAAACGCGATGTTGCTCGACCTGACGTAATCTTCCATGGAACGAGGGCTCGCGAAGATCGGCGTCGTCTCACGGTTAACGACGTGCCAGGCCGACTTGGTCAGAAACACGACACGCATGTAACAACTCCAAGTCGCGTAGTTGTCCCCATCGAACTTATCGATGGAGACCTTGGAGGACACGTCTTGAGCAGTGGACATCGTACTTGGGCTCATAACCTGATGAAAGGTATCTGACTTGGTCTTGCGAAGGCTTGGCAGGAGGCGGAGGAAGTCTGCACTTGAAGAGTGAAGACTTGATCTGGAGAATTGGAAAGTGATTGATTTATAAGAGCTTATTCTATCTACCAACTGATTTATATGTAGTCCACATATAAATCAGTTGCAACTGTTCGCGTCCTGATTTATATGTAGTCCACATATAAATCATGTAGATCTCCTATCAAGCTACTCGTCTAATCAACTATGACGTGTAAGAAATGCCGTAAATACTAAGCCTTAGAGCTCGGATTGTACCGATAACCCTCAATACGCCCCCCTCAATGCGAACTCGCATGAATAGCGAGTGCAGCCGTCAAATCCTTGTGACGAGGTCCCGGAAGTGCCTTCGTCAAGATGTCCGCAAGCATGATGGAAGTCTCACAATACTCAAGCTCCACTTCACCACGCTTGACTTCATCACGGATGTGATGGTACTTGATGTATTGTCATACCACTGCACCAAAATGGTCAAGACCACTTTCGTCAGTGCTCTGTCAATTGTCATTCCAACAATCGCGACTGATAACCACTTGTCCTGTCTCGATGCCGTAAACTCGATACGCTTTTGATACCTCTTCGTATCCCATGAACACACCTGCACGAGTCTTGGCATCCCACTTGAGTCGTTTTTCTTGAGGAGTCAAAACGTACGTCCGGCACTCAAAAACACGCATGTGTTTCACACTGGGTTTGGACCTGTGCACGATCTCATAGAATGTATTGCTCGTGATCTTGGGTGACGGTAGGTGGTTCTTGATGTAAATCGCAGCCATTGACGCTTCACCCAAGATACACTTGTTCAGCTTGGCATGATGTAGCAAGAATGCTACGACCAATCGTGACAATCGTCCGAATTGCTCTCTCCGCTGTTCCGTTGGTTTGATGCGCGTACGGGACCGTGGTCTGCTGCTCAATACCTTGGTCTTGGTAGAACGCCTTGAGAGAGTTGGTTGCAAACCTCGAGCTCCATCGTGACGCACGAACTTGACTTGCTTGTTGAACTGTGTCTGCACCATCTTGATGTAGGTCTTGAGATGTTCTTCGCTCTCAGGCTTGGCACTTAGGCAAAAACCTTTCATGCATCCGCTGGCTTCGTCCACGATGAGAAGCAAATACTTGCTACCACCCAGTGTTTCTTGCTCCATAGGACCACAAATGTCGAAGTGTAGAAGCTCAAACGTGTCATAGCGGCGCTTGTCACGGTTGCTCGGGAACGGTTTCTGGACCATTTTTTTCCTTGCTGGCATCCGTGGCATGTGCCAGTTGTCGTCGATGGTGCATTTGCGTCCTTGATCATACCGCTGTTGACCATCTTGCGCAACACATCAACCGGAGCATGGCCCATTCGTGCGTACAGATTCACACTGTTTGCCGAAGTCGTTGCATTTGCCGAACGTTGTGGCGTGCGAAGCCAGTAAAGTCCATCGACGAGGTCCGCCGTTGCCACCGCTTGCTTCGGTTTCTTGTGCGCTATGTGCATACTCGCACCGTCGAACACCACTTGAAACTTGCCACTCTTGTTGATTTGCGGCACCGATAGCAGATTCTTTTTCATCTTCGGCACGAAACAACGCATCCTTGATTTTGATGTCACGCTCTTCGCCGTTGGGCAGAACCACTCGTTCGATGATGGTTCCCACACCCTTGA